GGACTAGAACACTGTATTTCAAGCACAATTTTGTGTCACTTGGATGACTGAGAGCAGACATAAGCTTTGCTGGGACTACTTAGATGCATTTTTACCCAATTTAGAGTTTTCATATTTTACTCACTGCAGAGTTAACTGGATTTTTTGGTATAAAGTACAGATGATCTTAAATTTTAAAATGAAAAACAGCACTGGAGAAATGGACATAGGTTAGCCTTGATCACCATATAATTATAGGACTGTCAATTAAATAATTATACAATGACTGAATATCATATTGTCATGATTTATATTTTTAACTATTGAGCCCAATATGCCCATGGAACCCAGTCACTTAAAAGCAAATCTCATGAAGCTGGTGGTTCTTCTTTCAATAATTTCAGCTAACCTTGAAGCACCCCCAAGGGTATTACTGTGACTATTTCCTTTTACATTGGCAAAGTTATAGTTGAGACTTCCAGACACAGGTGAGTTACTGGGATCCAGTATATGCTGTCCATGGCCAGAGGTTTATAGCAGATTTTCCTTCAAGCAACAGTACAAGCAGTTAGTGACATGCTCAGATAAACCTGTTGCAAGCACATACTATATAATTTTGTAAATTATCTACCTACCTTTTTTCTGATAGTAGGAGGTCAGTCCCACGTTTCTAACTGCTAAATAATGAACATTAATTCCACTGTATGCTTATTTAAATTTGAAGAAGAAGCTCTTATTTAATCCTTCAGGTATTGCAACTGCACAAAGCTATTCAGTATTTCTTGTTTAGGCAAGATGTGAAAAAGCAATACCAAACACAAGAGCCAAAAAATGAACCACAAAGAAAACATTATGAACTACTGTCCATTTAAAATAGCTGTGTTTCTAGGTTCTCCTGTGAATCTTTAATTAACTTTTATTTCTTTCACTTGAGCTAGTTGTGAGATTTTCTTTTCCCTTAATGACTTTTTTATCTGCCTTTTGTATATTTGCACACAAATTTGATTAAGAAGAAAAATGCTTTTATGCCTTTAACATATTTAATAAGTGACATTGTTTAGCCTGAAGAAAAGGAGGGCCAGAGGGATCTTGTTTCTCTCTACAACTACCTGAAAGAGATTGTAGCCAAGTGGGGGTCAGCCTTGCTCCCAAGCAGTAAAATAAGAGGAAATGGCCTCAAGTTGCATCAGACTGGGGTTTAGACTATACATTAGAAAAAATTTCTTCACCAAATAGCTTGTCAAGCATTGGATCAGGCTGACCAAGGTTACCATCTGTGGAAGTATTTAAAAGATGTGTAGTAGATGTGATGTGGCACTTGGGGACATGGTTTAGTGGTGGACTTGGCAATGCTGAGTTAATGGTTGGACTCGATGATCTTAGACGTTGGTTCCAACCTAAACAATTCTATGACTCAATGACTGTCAGAAAGGCAAAGCGTATAAAATCAGTTTGATGTGGCAATCCTGTTGTATATAACCACCTGATCAGTGGATGCCAAACTCAGCTGGAAATGTTGGATTTTGCAACCAGACAAATCTTTGGCTGTCCTAACTCCAAAAGTAAGCATTAAGTTTATTATGCATATGGGTAGGCTGAGGACACTTATGCTTGTCACCTCTTGTTGGAACTGCTGTTAATGTTAATTTATAACTCTCCGTGGTGCACCTATTACGTATTTTCCTGTTGTCAGTCCCTGTCTGGCTACACAGGCAGCCTACAGCGGTCTGAGCTCTGCAACATCTGGTGTCTGAAAAGAGAGGGAGCCTGATGAGCTGAGCAGAGGATAGCTCTGAAACCTCATTGTACACAGGGCTGGGCAAAACTTTTATTTGCACGCAGTGCTCTTCTGTTGCCTTGTAAATTCAAAGCATTTGTGAGTGATAGTATTAAAAAATTACCTTAAAAAGAAATGGTTAGGTTTGGTAAAATAAGTTGAAAATCCAAGATGTGATACGAAAATATAGCAAAATGAAGAAACAGAATTATTACCAAGATATGATTTTAGAATTATCGGAGGTGGTAGTCAGGATTTTTTTCCAGTTATTTCAATGGAGCAAGGCACTGTCCTACATTGCTAATAAGCTGTTCATATAGTACCAGGAAACAATATCTGGGATGTGAATACAAGTTAAGTAAAGAGATATAATGTAAAAGAAAATTTTCCAAGTTCTCACATCTCATTAGTATTAATTCTAAGCAAGTTCCTTTAATACAGGTTAACTTTCTTAAAAAACTAACCCTCCCTTACATTCTACCTGATTGTTTATTTCCTATTGAGTGTACCTCTGACAGGTACAGCATCCAGGTTACACCTTGTGTGCTGTTTTGTTTTGTTAAAAAAGCTGTACTGCAAACAACCAAAGTTTATGTCCAGCAGTTAAAATGCCCTGGCTTTGAAAGTCATTTGTCTAATGCAAGACTGTCAGAGGAAAATATGTGGGCTATTTCAAGACTCTCAGGCTTTATAACTACAGTAACAAACACTTTGCTTCACAAAAAAAGGCACATTCACATGTCCCCATATTTCATTTACAGTGGCTAAGTATTTCCCAATTTACATATTAATGCAGCTTAGCCCAAAAAGTTTACAAGAACACCTGGGAAAAATTCCACTAGGTGGATGGTCACTGCAACATTGGAAACACAATTCAGCTGAGTATTTTCCTTATTGTTCTAATTTTTAAAATGACAGTGTTAATGTTAAATACAGGACAGAGTTGTGAATGCAGTCCAGAATCCAGGATCACCTCCAAGAGCATAGTTATGCTTTGCCTTTCTTTGAATTTTGGGCTAAATGTATATTGCCAAGTGGTCCTGTTTGCCCACTGGGCTATTGTCACACCCAATTATCTGAAAACAATGACGTTAGGGAAATTTTAAAATGAATGAATTTTTCATTTTGAGGTTTTCATGTTATTCTGAACTCAAGCCACTCTTTCAGGAAATGTCTGTTTTTTTCACTCTTGATGTTTGGGAATAAATAAAGACATTGAAAATCTTTCATTTTATGAAAAACTTATATACTTGCTCAGCTAATTTTTAAAACACAATGTTAGTCTCAGTGAGAGTAGCAAAAGCAGGATATACAGATACTTTTCTATTTACAGCTTGTTTAATCATTTCTTCTGCATTTCCAAACTCTAACGTCACTTAAGAGTTGCAGGAAGAAGAGTCTCTTTTGAAAGGCAAACAAAGCAAGCCACAATGCATGATGTTGACAGGAACTTCTTGCCCAAGTAGCCAATGCAAGCCTTTTCACACAGGCTTGGTACACCTGGCAGAAACAACCAGTTCACTGCAATATGCCAAACTGAAAACTAATCATCCAAGCCTGTCCTTTTCCTGTTTTTTTAAAGATGTCACGAACATCTACATAATGTATTTCTGGCAAAAATGAATAGCCAGGTCACTCAGTCTCACTCAAAACACAGCACTGTCTCCTGGGGCATATTCTTCAGCAATACCTAATTCAGAAGGATGGGTTTGCTGGTTTTTTTTTCTCAGTCCTTCCCTTTTCCACACTGCAAAAAACAGGGGTGTCCCATGGTTTGAATCAGACTTATTTAGCTTTAATTAGCTGCTGAACTTCCACCCATGGAATCCAACCAGATGAATGACTTTTCTTAGCTCTGGTAAGTTCCCCTTTTCTATGTCAGAGTTGAAACATCCCCTTCAGGAAGATGCCCAGCAGCATTATTTCCACACACACACCTCCAGTTATCCCCAGCACGTTTTGCTCCCCTGTAGCGCTGCCCTCATGTCACATTATTGTGATTCATCACATACCTAGGCAAGTAACTACACTGAGTGACTCAGCAGCAATAGGGAGATTATTACCTTTTTTGCATGTCTGCTAGATGGGTGTCTGTGGAATAACAGAAGATACATTATTTGTGTCACTAGGGCGATGGGAGCTGGAACTCCAATTTATAGCAAAGTGTTTCTGCATCCATTTTTTATTCTTTAACATGAAAAAGCTGCTCTATGTTGAGATTGTCAGTGTGTGTGTCTGTGTCAGTGTGAGGTGTAAATACTTTGCCCAGACCACAGGGTTATTTCAAGGGGTTTCTATTTCCATCATGGAAACCACATACCCTAGAAATGCTAAAGTCAGGCCATTGACATCATCTTTATGATCTTCTGTTCATGAGACTAGAAAGAGTCTGACAGGGACAGTGAGAAAAATGGGCTTCTAATCTGTTAGTCTGCTACAAATTTTCCATGTGGCTTTGGGCTTTTCTGTCTTCTTTCATAATTTTTTTCATTAGCTTTTCAGGACAGCACTTCCCCTTTCTCAGCTTCAGCCTTTAAGTTCTGTTATAGAACAAAGACCTGTAATAAATATATTTACTGGCCTCTCCATTAAGATGCCTTTTGTGAAATTTATTTGATGGAATTGTTTCACAATTGCCTCAGAATGAAACCCCAGGGCTTTTAGATATGGAAACCAGCTGACATACAAGTGTGTTCATATGAATTTATTTTAAAAGTAAAGGCACTTTGACTGCCTTCACACATTTCCCTATACTATTCTTACTAATTTATGCTTTTGGTGCAGATAACAGCTGCAATTAAAAGTTGTTTTAGTATCTAAAACAAAAACACTAATCTAGGACTGAAATAAGAACTCCTGAAAGAAATAAAAAAAACAAACTCAGATATAAAGTCATATTTGTTTGGCTTTGTGAAGGAGGGAAAAGTAGGGGCTTTGTTCCAGAAGAAAAAAATATATGAAACTAGAATAAGAATGTCTCTCTAATTTAGGTGTAGTGAAGGCACTGGTTCATAATTCATCACTCTACTAATGCATTCTGGCAGAGGATTATTTCACATGCATGGCAGGATGTGTCAGACCCTTTGATTTAGGGTCTTCTCCAACAGACTCCATTTTCAAAGAAGTGCAAGAGGCTTCTGGTTCTTCCCCCATAAGCACTACTAAATTCACATTGAGAAACCTGACTTAAATTATACTTACAGTTCCTGACACATAAAAGCAATCTGATTCAGAAAAAAACGTGTAAATTCATGCTTGTATCCTCTTGAATGGAGGTGGCTTGTATCCTCCTATGGTGGAGCTGGGGATGACAAAATGTCACCACCTTCCAAGTAGTGACTTAGGACTCAACTTTATTAGAGACTTCTGTATCAGTTGATGGCCTGGGACAGATGAAAACTTGCATGGAAAACTCTCTCTGTGTCATGAAAAAAAATAACATAAAATAGCAAAGGCAACTAAATGTCAAGTTCCATTAGCCTGCACCTTCCAATTGATGTAGCTGCCTACGTACTTGAACAGTATCTTAAATATGTTAATTTAACCTTGAGTTCTCTTACCTGAGATCACCAGCAGCTTCATAGTCCATTTTTAAAAAGCTTTTTATTATTCTCATGTTTCTAACAATGTGATGTTTTTGAAACTTAATCAGGCCTATAACAATAATAAAGATAAAAATATATGTGGGAAAGGTGATATAATTGTAGGCCACTCCAGGGACTCACGACAGCAGTTTTTCATTTTGTTTTGGATTGTTTGAAAGACTGCAGTGTCTGTAGTGAAAGAAAGTGGTTCATGTAGAGCCTCCAGCAATATTCTAAGTGACTGACTACACCCAAGGAATATCAGGCGCAGATCAAACAAATCGTATCCGCAAGATATAAATTAAGTTTTTTGAACCCCAAAGGTACATTTGAGAAAATTTGGCAAATCTGCTCCTTAATATTCTTGGTAAGAAATCACAGTGTGATTCTTTATATATTTTAGCATTCTACATCCTATTATCATATTGGAAGGTTAGTTAAGTAACAGTTTTTTATAAAAGAAAATTCCCTGTAAGTCTATCTAACAAAATAAACCAAAAAACATTTGTGTTGACAATGAATGTCATTTACTTTTACTGTGTCTTCTGAATTGCATTATTCATATCAACTCTGAAGGATTTTCCTTGTTTTCACTGTATTTATGGTTTGAGATGTGCATACAGCTGTTGTACTCCCCACAGATCCATCACCTGACCAATAATCAAACTCCATGTGCCAAAGATGTCTCAATACACAAATAATAGTCATTCTAGGCTTTCTGATAGTTCAGTTTTCATAATTAATCCACATTAAGAAAATTGGAAAAGAGAAAATAGACTTAGCAAACTGTGCCTGTTTGCAGTTTATCTAATTTTTGTTAAACTGTTAGTGATTAGATTAGTTAAAAAATGGTGTCCATGAGAAGACCCTCAGTCAGCCCTTGACTAAAGGCAGCTAAATTAGCATATTTCCTTAAGTTCCTGCACAGTAGGTGGTGAACTCTTTTCTCTCCATCAGTTTCATTGAAGATGGAAGATGAAAAAGTTCCTAATCCAAAACCCAAAGCTGTTTCTTAGATAAAAGCATGAGAATAGTTTCCCCTCTTTGCCCTGATGCAGAAAATAAACTTGTTTGCTTCCATTTTGAAGTACTTTTAGACTGCTCTTAAAGCCTACTATTTTAAATCCAGGCTCTAGTTTTGTACTTGAAAGTTCATGATTTAGTCTGTGAATCTGTGTAAGGCAGCATTATTTAATAAACATCTCTAATCTGGAAATCTGTCTGTATGAAACATGACTTAAGTAAAGAGAAGCTATTCCTTACATTTTGATTGCATTTTCAGACCTGAGTCAAATTAGTCCATAAAGGTTCTGGAAACTCTTATTTATAGGATATATGTCTCTTGTGTTCTGTTCAGGAGCTTTTGATATGATGGCCAAAATTGTCAGGATCACATAGTTTTAATCCTTTTAATTTTCAAATTCCAGTCTGTTTACATCTATCTTTAAGCTATCCCAGATTTTTCATTTCCTATTTTCACTTTTCTTTGACAAGCATCTGGAAATTTTTGCAAGCCAAGTGCACATTCTGTATCTATAACATTAGAAGCTGAGATTATCCATCTTGCTCTAGTTTTTAATTCCCACTCCCACTTTTCTCTTTTCACATTTTGTAACCAATTACAATAATCATAATTACCATAGCCTATCCTGCATAGCATCAATTTACATTTTGTCTAAAAGCAACCATCCAAAAGATGTAAATGTCCTGAAAGCAGATCTAAGCTCATTCTTCCATTGCAAAATATTTAAAATTAATCAGGAAACATGACTTACAATTTGTACTGTAGGGCTGAATCAAACTCAGAAAAGTTTTGTGTGGGGCTGGCCATCTGTTCTAAGTCACTGGAAAAAAAAGAAAAAGCCAGATGACTTAAGAACAACATTTTCAGCCTGAATTGACTTCCTTGGGCTCTTGCATCTCCAAGACTCTAAGTTAAGGCACCCAGACTCAGAGTGTATATTTTGCACCATTTCTCTCTTCCTTTTTTTTTTGTCCCAAAAGTGAATATGTTGCTACTCAGTAGTCAAAACTATTAACCCCAGTTATATTCAGTTTGGTAAACATAGACTGGAAGGTAATCACAGGAATGATTTAATGACTTTTTGGGAGTTATTTTTAGCTATGAACTACACACTGGGGAAGAAGAGGGGTATTTGATGAAGAAAAAGAATTGCTGCAACCAGTTGAGATTCCTCACTTTCAGTGACTGCAATTAGGACATGATGGATATAAAAGGGAAAAAATTGTTGTGCTGAGTCTAAAGAAATTTAAAGAAAAGTAACAGTAAGAATTAAGAGACACAAATTGTGAAAAGTGAGAGGACAGGTAAAATACAGGAAATACAGGTTATATTAATTTCAACTCCCTCACAACTGTTTAAAACTGGAGGTCAGTGTCCAAGGAACTGTTTATTATCCTGAAACAAATAAGGAGGCTCTGATTAGATTAGCTATGCCAGCTCATGAATATTGACATAGAGGTCTGCTGAGGAGACTTCCTCAGATATGATTCCTGTATGGATATGAGTGCATATCTATCTTATTTTTTCTTTCAATTTCTGTTATCTAAAATTGCATTTTCTTATGCTCACACTTGTTAGATCCAATACCTTAATGTTAAACTAATAACTTTTTTGGAATAATGTTTCAGTAGATTTTTCATAACAATGATTGGTGTCCTGATTCCTCTGGTGGCTACAAGTAGATGTCATGGAAAGAGTGTTATCTGGGTTAATTTCTTCAAGGATTGTCTTTTTGGGTTTCTTAAAGACTTAGTCTGAGTTTATGCTGAACAAAGTCCAGGCTGTGGACTTTATTAGACTACTCTTAATGGACAAGGTACTGAGTTACCTTTACTTGCCAAATAATTGCCTCACTAATTTTATTAGATACTGAGGGTATAGGACTTGATCATGAACAATAAAAAAGAGCTTACGAATAAATTCTTAGAAATGGAGACGAAAAGTATGTTGGCTAATACAAATAATCTTTCAATACTAGTTTTACATGGCTCAAAATAATTCTTGTCCTCACTGTGTTTACATTCTGATTCTGCTAACAGGTAAGTTGTGCAATTATCCTACTTTATTGTGTGTTAGTGGGTGTGTGAAATGTGTACTTTATACCCACAAACAGTTGCAGCCCATTTGGCAACAAAATGGGCAAAAGAAAGATATGCCTCGTGGCTGGTGTCCAATTGGCACAGCTTGAAAATGGGAACATTATTTATGAGCATCTACTTGTAAAAATTCCGGTTTCAGGATGAGAATTATTGCCATGGTCTGGCTGGAGTTCTGCAAGTGCTAATTTGGGTACATATGGACAGATTATTTGTTTTAAGTTCATTTGAGCAGTGGACTGATGTCAGTAAAAGAGGCTGTTCACAGCTCAGCAGCCTTGGGGCACATTTACATGAGCTGCAAATACCAGTGACAAAATGCCATCTCTGTAGAGCTTTGCTTTGCTGAGGGGACTCACCTCAGCAGTGGAGCTCTGCCAGAGAGGCTTCAACAGATGTTTAGATGGTTCAAACAGCTGGGAGTTTTACTGTCTTCTCTCTCCTTACAACTTGCAGGGAGGAGCCTGGTGCCAGAGGCTGTGCCTGATCCTCACATGCTCTGCCCTACCCAGGCTGAGGCATCAGACCCTGTCTGCTGTGCCCTGCTGACCTGGGAACCCCTGAAATCCCTGGCCCCCAGCCCAGGGAGCTGCCATCTCCCCAGCATCCCACCAGATCAGCTGGAAATCTTGACTTTGTCTTTGAAGCTTCAAGAGTAGTGATCTTAGTACTCAGATGGAATTAAAATGCACTTTTTTATTCAAGAAGGTAAAAGACAACTCAGTGAAAGGTACAAATATACACTTCTTAATAACTTCCTTACTATAAATACAGTGGAAGTAGAAGTTTGAAGAAATAAGATCCATGCAGCTCATTTATTCCAGTTTTGATACCTTATCCTTTATTCAGGATGAGTATACTGATTGGGAAATCAATATATATTAACAGATCCGTCTTCCAGCCCAATGAATAGGGTCTAAGACAATACATACAGTGCTGATGGGCTAATGTACCAGATTATCTGAGTCAGCCACAGAAAATCTGAGCTATCTTTAGACTCTTACACATATTAGGAGAATTTGGTTTAGTCCCAAGGTGAAGGGACCTTATATTCTCATTCACTTATATGCAAGTACATCTTATCCCTTGCTGCTGATTAGAAACTCCTCTCAAAGAGCTTAAAAACTGAGGAGTGTTTTCAGTTTGCAGTCAGCAATTTTGTGTATTTCCATCACATGTACTATTGATTTTCAATCTTGGACACTTATTATTAACATTTAACATCCACACTCATTAGTTTTTGCACATCCACGTTATTAGACCCAGTGACCTCCCACTGAGGGCTAGAGACAATATAGTGGAAATGTGCCTATTGAACAAGAGAGAAACATTTTCTCAACTTGAAGACTGCTTTTCATAGTAAATTACTAATCAGATATTCTATCTTGATGAGTAAATAAAAAGCTGATCATGAAAATTGTCAAAAAATTAAATTGTCAGGAATTGTCAAAAATGCTGTGTAACCCAGGAAATATGATTTTTGCTATAACCAGAAAAAGAGTTGAAATTATGTGGTATTGCAGGGTGTCAGAACATGTCTGTCTTTGTCTTCGTTTCAGCTGAGTTTTGTATTCACCTGGTGGCAAAGTTACTATTGCTTCATATTTGTATGAGCTGGAGCTTTGTGAACCCAAGAATGGCAAAGGTCTGGCAAACCTGGAGAGGCACTGACTTGCAAGAAGTCCTTGATACCAGCTGGGGCTGGGGGAGAAAACTTTCTGACTTCAAGGGAGTAAGTGATGAAGGGGAAAACTACAAGAAAATATTTAAATATGAGTCTAAGTGGACCCCAATAGGAATAAGGAAGAAATTTTTACCCGCTGTGAACATCACACTGACAAAGGGAGAGGACGTGAGTTTCAGAGTAAAAATTAGGAAACATTTATTGTGGAAAGGTGGTCAAACACTGGGTCAAAGTTCCTGGAGAGGTGGGCAATGCCTCAAGCCTGCCTTTGTTCAAGAGGAAATGCCCTTAATAATATGCTTTAGCTTTTGGTCAGCTCTGAAATAGTCAGGCAGCTGGACTGGATGACCATTGCACACCCAATCCAATGCAAATATTCTCTCTATTCAACTCAGTTTGATTCCTACTTCAGTTCATCATAAATAACAAACAAAGGCTGCCAACTCAGCCAGCTATCACCCAGATTCCTGCCTGAAGAACACTACAACTGTCAGCCTTATGACAAGAGGGGCATTGGATCACAATGTAAGAGAAAAAGGACTTTAGGATATAGGAATATGTGTTCTGTGTAATGATTTTAAGTGTATTGTTAATATGAATTTCTGTTTCAACTAGATAATTTGGAGGTTTAGACTGTTAAAAATTAGTTTAAATTATATCAGTTATTAGTTAAGTTATTCTCAGAACATTATTATTCTTCTTATATTCTTGCTATTCTTATTCATTATTATTCTTCATGCTTCAATTCTATGTATGCAGTGTATCTCTCTTGCCAGTAATATTTTATCTAACACAAGCCATACATTGAAATCCAATCTTAAAACCAAGCTGAGATATGGCTGTAGAACATAGCTGTATTTGTTTATATAATGTTGAATTTCAGCTCCCATAAATAGATTTTGAAATGGTGATGCTTTTAACTAGCATATTGCTGCTAGGCTGGCCGATTACTCATTCACTTTTCTTGTCCCTGACATATGTAGAGAACACCTGCAGCTACATATAAAGTGCACTTGATAAATACAATATCATGAGGAATGAGGAAGTGATATGGTAGCACTTGTCCTTTTATTTATTCTCAGGACAGCACATAGGGTGGGGTGACTGAGTGGGTCAGGCCATTTACCCATCTGTCTTTATTTTGCAGGTCTTACGTTGTAACACAAGAATTATATTTCTCTGCCATATTTACTTTAGCTAGATGTTCTTTTGTCCTTTTTTAAGTCCAACTCTTGGAAGCTCTAGGCACTGATTTTATTCTTCAAGATGAAGATCTTTTTTTAGAATCCATTATTGTCATGGAGACAGTCATACAACATTGCAAGTGATATTACTCAGACCAGAGGAGGTATAGCATCTTGCAAGATCAAGCCTTCAGAAATCATGCCAGGTCTTTAAGATCTCTTCCAACCCAAGACATTCTATAATTCTATTTTAAAAAAAATTGGTTTTTCAAAGAACTTAAGATGCTAAAGTCTCCAGCCACCCTACAATGAAAATTCCAATATTTACAAGTTAAATACTCTGAATTTAACCTGCTTTTCTCTACTAAATTTCTAAAGGTATTCACAGTTTTTCTTCTATATGTGGTTAAAAATCATGGGTTTTTTTTGTAAACATGACCAGCTCGACATTTGTTCCATCTTGTTCAAGAGCTCCAAACTGGATGCTTCTCTGTCTACTAAGCAGATCAATACATTAATTGTCCTCAAATTTCACCTTATGTCATGATTGTATTAAGCTCTATACAAAACCACTTTCAAATAATTATTCAAATAATTTTCATATAGATGATGTTTACTATCCACCTCTTAATCCAAAAGTTCCAGGTTAAAGGGAGAAAAACAGATTCCCTCTACTCTCAGCAACTCCTGCCCTACCAGCAGCCAGTTCTAAGGAAAAGCTTTTGACTTTTTTGTGGTGAAGTCATAGAATCATAGAATACACTGAGTTGGAAGGGATCCTATCAGAATCATGGAGCCCAACACCTGACCCTCTGCAGGACACTGCAATCACACCAAATGTTTCTTGAACTCTGTCAGGCTTGGTGCTG